AAACAAATTCAATAATATATCTTTGTGGTGGAGTGAATTTTCATTATAACACTTAATAGAATGCTTAGAACCTGGTGTTGTCATTGTGTGGCTTTATCATGTAGGATCGCCTTCATGATCTACTGATAGAGTGTCTGCCCAGAGAGCAGAAGGTCCGGGATTCAATCCCTAGCCACATCATACAAAAAGATGTTTAATGGTGTTACTTGTTGTTACCCTGACTGGAGCTCGTAAAAGGGTTAAAGCAAGGACTGGTTGGCTCAGAATCAGTATTATGTGTCTGAGTGGGGTATTCATGTTAAACTGTGGCATGGTATCTCAATGGGCAAGCACTATAAAATTGGCATTAGTCCAGACCAGTATAACAGCCACACGCACACACGTGCATGCACATCACAGTATAAGTGCAATATCTTGGATGCGATGTAAAACCCCATTTCAACTCACCTCTTACCACAAGGACAATCTCAAATTTCAATCTTAATTCGATACAACAAATAATGATGCCAGCACCAGGGTGGTCAGGCATTTCCCCTTAATAATGAGATCCCTTTATGGACACCACATGAAGTCAAATAGGGCCCTTCCGCTATAGAGAGTTCCCTTAAAGACAACACAAGTGCAATAGGGTCTTGGTGGGTCCCATCCCTGATATAGAGAGATCCCTTTACAGACAACACATTAAGTCCTATTGAGGCTGGTGAGACCCCAAGCACAAACAGACAGGCTGCCAGCCCCAACTCTCAGCTTACACATATCACACCTTTGCAATTACCTGTACAGGAGTCTGTGGACTTGACCACTTGCTCATTAACTCAGGTTAATATCAATGTCAAAGGCCTGGCAGGTAATGTATCTGTTTGATTAGCCTAATCATTGATGTGCACAGGCAGAAATGAATGGGGTAATGATGTTTTATTATTTAGCCTTAAATGTGAAGTACTACAACAAGGGTATCAAATAAAAGCACTCGAGCTGAGAGCTGGTATTCATACAAACTACTTAACATGATTAATATGGTTTACAGATTCTGATCACCCTTAAAAATTTATAAAAATAATTCTCCCAAATGCGAGCTTACGTATTCACCACAAAAATGTTTTGCATACAATAGGCTAATCTGCAAGGCTACAATAGCACGAATAGGCAAAAGTAATCTAGTTGTTTCATTATAAGAAGAGACTGGCATAAACTACCACTGCACACCCTGAATCATATTCAGATAATGTTTTGAAGAACAAATAAAAAAATATGAAATGTCTTTTTTATGTCATTTTCTTCTACCAACAATGTGGCATGGCGATGCTTCATTGTTACCTAAATCTAATCTTTAACTGAATTCCAACATTTCAAATACACTGAGATACAAGCAGAGTAAAAGTTTAAAGGGAATACAAATACAATTACATAGGGTAAAACGGATGATATTTCATGGGACAGAAATTCAGTTAATTTGACCGTATCGCTCCATCTTAATCCCATGTGATCCCTGGACACACTGAGACCACAGTATGTCACTGTCCAGCCATGTGTCAGCACAAGAGTGATGATAGTGGATTTAACTGATAGATGTGGAACATACACAACTGCCTCCCCATGCTCTAGCACACAGGTCCCAGTTCAGGGTCCAGTACAAGACTGATGACGGTGACACTGAACCTGGTAATTGAGCATTCACAGTTGCCTCCCCCCATGCCTCCTCTACCCTCACTATCACAGTCCCCCAACCCCACCCCCATGCCAAACATTCTCTATCCTCACTATCACAGTCCCCCCCTCATGCCACACCTCCTCTACCCTCATTACCACAGTCATACCTTCTCTAACCTCACTATCACAGTCTCCCACCCCTCATGCCATGCCTCCTCTACCCTCACTATCACGGTCCCCCTCCTCCCATGCCAAACATTCTCTACCCTCACTATCACAGTCCCCCACCCCTCATGCCATGCCTCCTGTACCCTCACTATCACAGTCCCCCTCCTCCCATGCCAAACATTCTCTACCCTCACTATCACAGTCCCCCACCCCTCATGCCATCCCTCCTCTACCCTCACTATCACAGTCCCCCTCCTCCCATGCCAAACATTCTCTACCCTCACTATCACAGTCCCCAACCTCTAATGCCATGCCTCCTCTACCCTCACTATCACAGTCCCCCCACCCCACCCCCATACCAAACATTCTCTACCCTCACTATCACAGTCCACAACCTCTAATGCCATGCCTCCTCTACCCTCACCATCACAGTCCCCCCACCCCACCCCCATACCAAACATTCTCTACCCTCACTATCACAGCCCCCCCTCCACCATGCCCTCCGTCAGTGAAGTTTATAGGCCTATTTCTACAACACTGGCTTCGCTCCAGTGCTTCTTCATTGCTCTTCGAAACAAAATCGGTGGTGGCAAGCCATCAGTCTTTGTTATCAAATTCCTAAGATCAGGTATGAAATATTCATCATGCCAGGGCTGTATGAAAAAAAATGCATTATTTTATACAATGTTTGTCAGTTTTGCTTTGTCAGCTTCACCGCAATTTGTAAAGCACCTGGCAATAAGAAATGACAGGGCTTGAGAATAAGATGAGTTTGTACATGGATTTACACACAACTGGTAATTCACTGAATGTCAATAGATATATGTACAACGAATAAACTACCTGACAAAAGATAAGCTGATGGGGAAAATAGACTGTTCATGTTGACAGAAAACACTGCTCAATTGAAGTATACAAGCTCCAGGTTTCACAGATAGAGCATGCTCTTTATATTCATAGACATTTCTGCTGAGATACCAAACTCTATGTTCAGACTGTGTGTGTCAGATTCACTCAACCGCCAAGTTTTGGTTCAAACAAGGAAATCCCAATTCATAATACTTATAAGGCTATGCATATATTAACATCATATTCATTGGTGGTACAGTCATCACCATTAGACCCTCAGTTTCAAGCCTAGGACCCTCTAACAATTACAGACTCACAAATTGACAGACCAAAGTAAATCCCACATTTTAGTTCGCTTGTTTGTTGTTTAAAGCTGCACTCAACAATATTCAAGCTATTATGAAATCATTTTTGGACCAGACAATTATATGGTTGACATCATGAGCATCAATCTACTCAACTGGGATACGATGACATGCATTAACCAAGTCAGTAAGGAGCGAACTTCTCATTGTTCACATAACAATTACTGTAGATGAATTATCATTATGCTACATACAAAATAACACCAATGAAGCAAGAAATTCTTTTAAAAAGGGATGTATATTCTCTGAAACGGGAGAACCACAAAGTACGGATCTTCCCCAAGAACAATTAGTTATCATTTAATTATTTTCTTTTACAATTTCTTAATGCAGTTTGCATTTTGGTCAAATTTACCCTCAGAAGTCCACAGACTACTTATAGTAATACCAGGGATCCGAAAACCAGACAGTGACTGTAAAATGTCCGATTTGAAAAAGTGCAAACCGGACATTTAAAACTTTGCCAACCGGAAATTTTCTAGAAAGTATTTCCCGGACATTACAACCTGAGACCTATATCATAACGAGAGATATAAAATAAAAAGAGATTTACTATATGCAGAAACCATGATTACCATGTGTAAATAGTTAGATCGATGCTAAGAACAGCCTAAATCACACTGGTGCCAGCGGTCAGCAGTGCACACCAGCAGCACTGCACTATGTTGTCAGTAACAGCATGGCATACATCTTTGACCTTTTAGATAAGTCACAAACTATTAGGTGTATAATGACACACAACTGTTGACATGTTGAGGCAAGGGTGATAGAGAAACCTTGTTAATCTGGACAGTACTTTTCCCAGTGAATGTGTCCGCAGGCAGTATCTGCTAAAAGTTGCTCGCCTGAATTTGGCACTTGGAATTATTTTCACTAGCTGTTCGTATTATTACATGGACAATCATACTCAGCTTACAAACAGAATGTTACCAGATATGGACTTCGGACCAGTCTGTATTTGTCCGGTGAATGTGAAACCATGGACATATATTAATGTAAATATACTGTCAAAAGACAAAATAGACTACCGATTCTTTCACATTACCATGCTTTACCTTGACTTACAAAAGTGGGGGTCCTGGGGGCCCCCTCTATAATTAATATTACGGGTCCTTTCAGGCAATATGAGGGGCCTTGTAAAGTAATGAAATGGTGTAGTGTACTGTACATTTTGAAAATTACTTTAGAATCAATAATCATATGCACAGTGGTCATGATCGAGTTGCCTTTGTTGCACTGTATGGTGCAATGAACATTTTTGTGCATCCTTGCGATGCAGTATATACTTTTTCTGCATCCAATCTCAACATTTGTGTGTACTGGACATAGATTAGTGCATAACATAAAACCATATATTACTATAGCTAACCTGGGTGCTAATTGGGTGTTATTAAAATTCTTAACAGTGAAGTTCTGAATGGAAGAATTACCAGGAGTCTGTGTTTTTCAGTACATGCCTTACACTTTAACAAGGGGCATCTTCCTGTCAGGTCAGTGTCCACCACAAAACCTATAACTCTGGCTTTAACATTATGCAATGGGATTGCCAACTGTGAACAAGTTACATGGATGTGCAGGAACATCCTACACTCATCTGTGGACCCTTCGCAGCAAACAAGACACACGATGCAATGAACACATCTATCGCATGATTATCACATGATCAGCAGCAGTTTTCCAACTGTCATCCTTCTCAAAAGCTAAACATCACACAGGAGCCATTTCTTAATCATTCTTACAACTAGAAACATCAAATAAAGAGTCAGAGCCGAGACTTTGCAGAGGGACATTACTGACAAGAGGACAGAGCAAAGCCAATTTACACATCACCACAATCCCTTGGCCACACCGAAGCCACTGTCTTAGCCAGCCCATTGGTCAAGCTATAGGCTGAAGTCGTGAGCGGCAATAGGGTAATACAACACAGGGCTCTTGTGTGAAACTTGGGCAAACTTGTCAAATACTCACCAAATACACAGCATCCATGTGCAAACATCCACCTGAAAACACAGAAAACACTTCAGCGATGCTCTCAAAATCACTTTTGTAACTGGAATGGGTATGAAGTAAGGCCGGGAATAAAACTCCATTCAAGAGGGGTTTGGGAGCAGTGCCTGTGAGTCTGTTGTAATACAGCCTGCGTGTCAACTTTATACTGTATGTTTGCACACATCAACACTGGGCACACATGTCTTTTCGGCTATGTGTGCAGTTTACCTATATGTTTCTCATCTTCCTCAAGTTACTTGGAATACACAATGTGTAATATTACAAAGCACTTCTTTCCATACATAATAGTCTGTGGACAGGGCACTAAGAAGTATGCCAGCATATGCTGTACTACATTTAGTCCAAGTGAAGGTTTTTCTCTGTTGTCAGCACTTTTTTCCATCCCTCCATAATGGACACGTGAAAACGTCTAACGATAAAATAATGCAAATATTTATTTCTTCCGTAAGATTATGTAAACATTATATTTAATTTGTCCAAGGCGAAAAGAAGAGATAACCGATTTAATCATGAAAAAACTGTATGTTTTCCACAAGAAACTTTAAAACTTCTTTCCTAAATCCCAACTCAACAAAAAGCCTACGATTTGTTTGAACTCATTCTATCAAATACACTTCAGAGAAACCATGTAGAGTCATAAAATATTCACACACTCTGTGACTGCTTGGTTCATAAAACACTTAATTTGTAACCCTGACTTAAATTCCATATGATGTTTAATTGAATATGGATTTCATTACCAATAACTGTATAAGACAATTGATTCAATTGGCTGTTTAACTTAATAAGAAAAGATATATCAGCATTTATCTGGCTATATAACTAAATACCAACTACATCTACACGAAACACATCAGCACCCAGTCTCACCATTGACAAATGTCGCCAGGCTGAGGAGTCCTACCACCAGCACTGGCCAGCAGACCCCCACACAGAGCTGGCCACTCATCGCTATGAGTCCAGCTAGTCTAGAGGCGGTGTTCTGTGGACCCCATTCCCTGGTGCTCTGCTAGTACACTCCCTGGATCACACAACACAACACACATATATATCCTCCTTCTCCTTGGTTCCCCTCCTGAAGGAGGAGGCACTGACACTTGTCCACAGGTAATCCTTCACAGCTGTTCTAAAACACTATCCATCCTTTCACCCTGAAATTGGAAGACAACCTGTTGAAAGCATTTTTGGCAAAATCACTATTTCACTTTGATTATCTAAGAAGAAAAGTTTTGTTAAAAACATAAATTGCTTTCTTGAACATAATCATGATAATGATGAACACAACCTTGGTAAACAGTATGCTATGCTTCCATAAGAAGTTAGGTATGTTTCCCTAAAAAGGAAGGCAGTCTTCAATATCATGCATTTTAACATGATTAATACTTAATACGATGTATTAATTATGGAGGTTATAAAGTGTTATGTTTCGAACATTTGGAAACACTTTAAGCTTGAGTTCGTATTAGTGACATGGGCTTAATTAACCATGTTAACACAAATACAAAATACATATTACTCAATGGATATAGCTCAAATAATATATATAAACCAGTGATTTTGCAAGTGAAAAATGTTATTTGGATGTTTGCTTGATTTGAGCCTATTTTGATGTTACATTCTTCAATCAATACCAAACAGTAACATATCTTAAGAACAGTTTGGAAGACAGTAAATTAATGTCCTACAAAATTAACTCATCTGAAACTCTGTAAAATGTAATAGAATATCATACACTCTTATAAACAATATATCAGTGGCTTCTAATCCCAGTGTAAGATGCATGTGTCTCTGTTAACTCCGGGGAGATCCCTGTCTGTCACTGTTGAGCCTTCCCATGCAGTGACCAGCGGGCAGTGAGTCTCCGGCCTATCTACAGTGTAGCCCTACAGGTACTAGCCATCACCCTACCTGACAGTCAAGCTTACACTGTCAGGGAGATGGGAGCCTCCACATGGCATGCATTTAATCACAGCCGCAACAGCCACTTGTTGAGATTTGCAATAATAATATTTCAACATTTGATAGAGAACATTTGAATGTTTTATTGCAGTGATCCCGCATGACTGAATGATTGCACAGTATGGTTTGTCAGAGGGGGAATGCTGTTAATATTCCTTTGTTTTCTACTATTAAAAGATCTATTAATTGTTAACTAAGGCAAAGGACCTAACATGTTCTACTGTGCTGAAAAAATAATAATGTACAATTCCTGTTTTCTAGTGATGTTTTTTAAATATCATCCTTAGCACATTACGAGGTTTTTTTTATAACTGTAATAAACTCAGAAGAGTTGAAACACTTCAAATTAAAGATACATAAACAAAAGGAAATGATGAAAGTCAAGACTGTATTGAACTCTGTTTTTTCTGTGAAACCCTCACTTAACAGCTGTTACATTGTCTAACCCGAGCAGGTGTTTCATGGGAGGGGCCTTGTAACCCTCCCACAAGAGGGGACTCAGCAGACAGCACAGAGGCTGTACAAATACCTCAATAACTGATTGTAACCATGACATTTCTGCAACATATTGTTTACAGATGAACAAACAAAATAATTCACAAAAAAGTTCATTATGATTTTTCGGGGTCAGGAATATGACAAACTCTTGTATTGTTTTCATGTCATGAACTAGTACCCTGCCATCATTGCCATGTTGAAATATAAGTACATTGATGCTAATAAAAAACACAACAGAAATCATAAAATCGATAAAAGTTCATACTTATTGCAGGTAAGTGTTAATAAAAAGTTATAATGACACTAATTATGTTGATTTTTGTTTATTTAGTTCTTTTATGATTTGTCTACTACAGAAATTATATTTACTCTTCATTTTGATTATATCAGGTAAACTGTCAGGTAAAATTGGTGGTTGCAGTATGAAATAATTATTGCATAGATGGGCAAAATAGGCCTAATAATACCAATTACTGGCTACAATGTGTCACATAGTGCAACCTTTGTATCTGTCTCATAGTTAAATATTGCATTCAAATGTTACATAAATTCCATAATGTTGCAAATTGTTACATTGCCTTCTCATAGATAACAGGTGATAACAAGTGGTATACCATATACGAACTCCCAGCCCAGGCAACCTGCAGGTGATTCATAATCCACACATTGGGTTTTAGTTTGAAACCATTTCCTCATAAGAAGTTGAGACAATAAGAAAAAAACACATTATAAACCAATTTAGTTACAGTACATAAAACGACAAATCTGCATTTGACTGCTTAAATTTCAAATGGTCTTATGTTATCTCAGCTGATAACGTTCACCTATAATGCATTTATGTATCTTAAAACATTGTATCAAATACTTGCATATAGTCAAAACGAATTCGGGGATATATGTAATTATTTTGAATGCGCGATCAAAAACAAAAATAATCATTTTCATTTAGTTTTCCATAATACAACATATCAGACATAACGCAAGATATTCAAATCCCCCGTACAGCTCCATAAAACATTGCGACTACAAAATAGTGTCAACTTTAATCTATTGTTTCAAATTACAAAAGTATATCAGACAACCCGTGTAAACAAAACGTTATTCCATCCGTTCAAACATTAAAACGCTGTACGAACCATTACCTATGAATATAATTGAATTTGAAAAAGTAGCGCAGATCTTAACTCCACTCTTAAAATAACCAAACTGTCAAGTTAACTAAAGAAATGTAAACTTTCTAAGGTTATTATCTAAACTAAACTACTAAACACAAATAAGTAAAGGATTTACAAACTCCAGGCGTAATTCCGATGTTTACACAAAACGCCGGGCCTGGTTTTTGGAGACTACAAAAGCAGACGATACACTGTCGTGCGTTCGAACCGCTCAGCTGTAGAAGGTATTTTCGCTTACCTGAGAAAGATGTAATACTGACACAACGACAAAGTTACAAATGATCGGTATAAGTTCCGGATAGGTCTCAAAAGGGTTTAGATATTCACCAAAAATGAGTTACCTGTCACATCGGTGGATAATCCGAACTGCGACATCACAGATGAAGGTAACATCCACTTGAATGTGAGTTTACAACTCTCAACACCGCACGATGGGACCGCCACCGCGAGCTCATTTGCATAAGGGAGCATTCCGTGATTCGTTTTTCGCCGAGGGCATTCAATACAGGCGGGGTTATTTTTAGCCAACGCTAAACTATCTGTGTGATTGTTTAGGTACAATTGTATTAGATATTATTTAATATCCAATATGTCGCAGTTAAGAGGGAGGAACGAGATGTGATGTTGGTCAGATTGTGGATATGGTATAGATACAAGCGATGTGTGAGCTGTGGACGTGAGAGCACGTTTGCAATCTTGACGTTTTCACAGTGAGATTACTTGGCAACATCTGTGAATCTGCTCGCACGCGTCTCACTAACTATTACGGAATGCTAGCGTTTTCGATAAAGTAGCAAACAGCCGAGTTTAGAAGAGTGAAAAAGTCATCGTGAATTTAATTTTTGTGAACAATCCATGCTCAAACGTGCGCAGTAGCAGGTCCTGCATACATGGACAAACATAGACACGGATTCTTGAAAATCAATGCCCAAGACCAGTCCTTAGGCTATATTCAGAGGTAAAAGATGAGTAGAGTCAATGTTCCTTCGCACATGGAAGATGGTATATATAATGAAATAGATTGCCATATAGGATGATAAAGATTGTTATATAGGATGATAAAGATTGCTATATAGGATGATAAAGATGGCAATATAGGATGATAAAGATTGCTATATGATGATAAAGATTGCTATATATAATGATAAAGATTGCTATATAGGATGATAAAGATTGCTATATAGGATGATAAAGATTGCTATATAGGATGATAAAGATTGCTATATAGGATGATAAAGATGGCAATATAGGATGATAAAGATTGTTATATAGGATGATAAAGATTGCTATATAGGATGATAAAGATTGTTATATATGATGATAAAGATTGCTATATAGGATGATAAAGATTGTTATATATGATGATAAAGATGGCAATATAGGATGATAAAGATTGTTATATAGGATGATAAAGATTGTTATATAGGATGATAAAGATTGCTATATAGGATGATAAAGATTGCTATATAGGATGAGGAAGATTGTTATATAGGATGATAAAGATGGCAATATAGGATGATAAAGATTGTTATATAGGATGATAAAGATTGCTATATAGGATGATAAAGATTGCTATATATAATGATAAAGATTGCTATATAGGATGATAAAGATTGCTATATAGGATGATAAAGATTGTTATATAGGATGATAAAGATGGCAATATAGGATGATAAAGATTGCTATATAGGATGATAAAGATTGCTATATAGGATGATAAAGATTGCTATATAGGATGATAAAGATGGCAATATAGGATGATAAAGATTGCTATATAGGATGATAAAGATTGCTATATAGGATGAGGAAGATTGCTATATAGGATGATAAAGATTGCTATATAGGATGAGGAAGATTGTTATATAGGATGATAAAGATTGCTATATAAGATGATAAAGATTGCTATATAGGATGAGGAAGATTGCTATATAGGATGAGGAAGATTGCTATATATGATGAGGAAGATTGCTATATAGGATGATAAAGATTGCTATATAGGATGATAAAGATTGCTATATAGGATGATAAAGATTGCTATATAAGATGATAAAGATTGCTATATATGATGATAAAGATTGCTATATATAATGATAAAGATTGTTATATAGGATGATAAAGATTGCTATATAGGATGATAAAGATTGCTATATAGGATGATAAAGATGGCAATATAGGATGATAAAGATTGTTATATAGGATGATAAAGATGGCAATATAGGATGATAAAGATTGCTATATAGGATGATAAAGATTGCTATATAGGATGATAAAGATGGCAATATAGGATGATAAAGATTGTTATATAGGATGATAAAGATTGCTATATAGGATGATAAAGATTGTTATATAGGATGATAAAGATTGCTATATAGGATGAGGAAGATTGTTATATAGGATGATAAAGATTGCTATATAGGATGATAAAGATTGTTATATAGGATGATAAAGATTGCTATATAGGATGATAAAGATTGCTATATAGGATGAGGAAGATTGCTATATAGGATGATAAAGATTGCTATATAGGATGAGGAAGATTGTTATATAGGATGATAAAGATTGCTATATAAGATGATAAAGATTGCTATATAGGATGAGGAAGATTGCTATATAGGATGAGGAAGATTGCTATATAGGATGATAAAGATTGCTATATATGATGAGGAAGATTGTTATATAGGATGATAAAGATTGCTATATAGGATGATAAAGATTGCTATATAGGATGATAAAGATTGCTATATAGGATGAGGAAGATTGCTATATAGGATGAGGAAGATTGCTATATAGGATGATAAAGATTGCTATATAGGATGAGGAAGATTGCTATATATAATGATAAAGATTGCTATATATAATGATAAAGATTGCTATATAGGATGAGGAAGATTGCTATATAGGATGATAAAGATTGCTATATAGGATGAGGAAGATTGCTATATAGGATGATAAAGATTGCTATATAGGATGAGGAAGATTGCTATATAGGATGATAAAGATTGCTATATAGGATGAGGAAGATTGCTATATATAATGATAAAGATTGCTATATAGGATGATAAAGATTGCTATATAGGATGAGGAAGATTGCTATATAGGATGATAAAGATTGCTATATAGGATGAGGAAGATTGCTATATAGGATGATAAAGATTGCTATATAGGATGAGGAAGATTGCTATATAGGATGATAAAGATTGCTATATAGGATGAGGAAGATTGCTATATAGGATGAGGAAGATTGCTATATATAATGATAAAGATTGCTATATAGGATGAGGAAGATTGCTATATAGGATGATAAAGATTGCTATATAGGATGAGGAAGATTGCTATATAGGATGATAAAGATTGCTATATAGGATGAGGAAGATTGCTATATAGGATGATAAAGATTGCTATATAGGATGATAAAGATTGCTATATAGGATGATAAAGATTGCTATATAGGATGAGGAAGATTGCTATATAGGATGATAAAGATTGCTATATAGGATGAGGAAGATTGCTATATATAATGATAAAGATTGCTATATAGGATGATAAAGATTGCTATATAGGATGAGGAAGATTGCTATATAGGATGATAAAGATTGCTATATAGGATGAGGAAGATTGCTATATAGGATGATAAAGATTGCTATATAGGATGAGGAAGATTGCTATATAGGATGATAAAGATTGCTATATAGGATGAGGAAGATTGCTATATAGGATGAGGAAGATTGCTATATAGGATGAGGAAGATTGCTATATAGGATGATAAAGATTGCTATATAGGATGATAAAGATTGCTATTTAGGATGATAAAGATTGCTATATAGGATGATAAAGATTGCTATATAGGATGAGGAAGATTGCTATATAGGATGATAAAGATTGCTATATAGGATGAGGAAGATTGCTATATATAATGATAAAGATTGCTATATAGGATGATAAAGATTGCTATATAGGATGAGGAAGATTGCTATATATAATGATAAAGATTGCTATATAAGATGAGGAAGATTGCTATATAGGATGATAAAGATTGCTATATAAGATGAGGAAGATTGCTATATAGGATGGTATAAAAGGATGAAGATAGGTGTGTGAATATCCTCATCAGTATTTTTGCAGCTATTCGCAGAGGTAGCATCCGTATAATTACTGGCTTAATTATATCAAATACATGTATATTCGTAAAAGACCCGTGAAGATCCGGGGTAGAAAAGGTCTTCAGTAACCCATGCTTGCCGTAAAAGGCGACTGTGCTTGTCGTAAGAGGCGCCTACCAGGATCAGGTGATCAGGCTCGCTGACATGGCATGTCATCTTATCCCAATTGCGTGGATCGATGCTCATGATGTCAATCACTTGATTGTCTGGTCCAGACTCGATTATTTACAGACCGCCGTCATATAGCTGGGATAATGCCGAGTGCGACTTTAAACAACAAAAAAACAAACAAAAAACAAAAAAAACATTCGTAAAAAGCCCCGCTAATTTGAACATAAGAGCCGATATTCTATTCACATGAAATCGGTGGTTCCCGTGGACAGTTAATGGAAGCATTAGCGGTCGCAGATGAAACATTTTCAACTGGTTTTTTAATTTAAACATAGATTCACACATTCCTGTCCAAATTGGATGCAACGGATTTTAAGAACATATGAACACCGAGATGACCCCGTGACGTCTTTGCTACGTGTGTCCTGAAGAACAGTTAATCTAACAAATCTAGCGACTCATTTCTTTCAAAATGTCTGCCACTATTAAATGGGCGCTTGGACGTTGCTATCTGTCACGTGATGACGTAACTATGACGCCACGTGGGGGCAGTACAATAGGCGTTGTTGCGGGTGCGGGTGGTGGTGTCATGGTAGATAAAGCACCTCAGCAGGAATTTCACTTAATGGTTCGTCAAAGTAGTCCCCAGCACTTAACTCCACATAGGATGCATTAATCATTGTGTTACATCAATTGAATCTTGTACATCGCTACATTTGACATGGTCGTTGATGATGATGGTATCCATTGGATAAGATAGGCTTAACAGTTCGTCAAGCATCATTTTTACCGTATATGATGTATTCATCGCTAAGACCTGAATCGGATCCAGGGAAGAATATGTCTTCAGCAACCCATGCTTGCCGTAACAGGTGACTATGCTTGTCGTAAGAGGCGACTATAACGGGATCGGGTGGTCAGACTCGGTGACTTGGTTGATGCATGTCATCGTATCCCAATTGCGTGGATCGATACTCAGGATATTAATCACTGGATTGTCTGATCCAGACTCGATTATTTAAAGACCGCCGTCATATAACTGTAATATTGCTGAGTGCGGGGTTAAACATCAATCAAACAAACAAACGAAAAGACCTGACTCCAGACCATTGGCTTTGCTGCAAGTTTGCTGTCGACGAGTCAGACGACCCTATGTGAATAAGAAACTTACGTCTGTCTCTTGTCATAGTGAA